GCCAACACTTCAATACCCCTAAAGCCCCCCAAAAGGAACACAACCCCCTGATGCCTCGATGTCAGCCGCAAGAGAGCCACGGCAGACTTCTGTCTCCATGAGCGTAAGATCCAAATTTGTGTGATTTTGCTATGGCAGCAAAGAGGAAAACACCAGTGGTGTCCACAGTGCACCCGCCCGTCCATCAGATGACGCTGTGGAGGTGAAAGGTGTCTCCTCAATTCTGCAGCTGCCTCAAGGTGGCGTAACTCCTCATGGCATTTGCCACTCCATTCATCGCTCTCCATCAGTTTTTTTTTTTTTTTTTTAAGATTTATTTATTTATACAAGCACTGGGGTACAGGCCAGAGGTGCGGGAGGGTGAGGGAATTCACCCAAGACAGAGCAGGGAGCAGGACAGGCAGAAGGACAGAAATACACTGCTGAGGGGAGCAGTGGGCGAGACAGGAGAGGTCTGCCGCGCCATGTGGGTTTCTCCCTGGCCGGCCAGGAATCGAACCCAGGCTGCAGAGGCTGCGGACAGCTTCACAGTGCTGCGCTCAACCTGCTGCACCACCGGGGAGGCCCCTCTCTCCATTAGTTCTTAAAAATCATTCTGGATCTTTTCCTGAGTTTACGCACATCCATTGAAGTTGCTGATTACAGGAGACTCACAAGCCCTTGCTTCACACAGCTGTTTCTCGTTTTACCCACATAGGGCTGGTCAGGCTGTGTTCCCGCAGTCCTGCGGCTGATGTGAATGCGCTGACGGCTGACTATCTGCCAACCTTTTAGGCATCAGCTTTAGTAGTTTGTACTGATGTCTCACCGATTCATGAGAGATCTAAACATAATATAGCATAAAATCTGTTGGAGAGTATAAGAGTGGGGCAGAACAGGCCAGATTTGGGTTTCCCTAGATTGAATTGCAACTTGAAATGAACCAGGTTGTTTCTACACAGCCGCTGTCAGAGCAGAACTGGGACAGGAATAGCATTCCATAGATCCCAAGTCAGTTGGCCTTTCATATGTTATAAAATATAGAGATTAACATTCATCATGGAACCCATGGCATTTGCACCACTGGAGGGGTGTGGACAACTTCATCAAAGCTCTGCCTCTGGTTCTCACTGCTATTAACTCACTGACATGGCATTGTCCCCCTGCAGGTGAATGACATCTAAGTGACACTGAGTGACGAGTTGGCAAGCAAAAGGCAGGGAGACAATGCATCAGGAGGTAAATTTGCTTTTACAGAAATAAATACTCATTATACGCTAAAATTATGTATTTTCTTTTTGGTAAAGCAACAAGCAAGGATTTAAGAAAGAAAATACTGACAAATAAATAATGGATCTCTACTATGTTTTCTTAGGTGTAAAAGCATTTCCTATTAAGTTCCAACCAATGTGGTTGAAGGCAGGAGAAATTGGCAAGTCTCACAGAATAGATGAAAGAAATTTCAAGGCAGTGAGATGCTGGCGTGAGTAATTTATGAATTGTGAGGTACATACACTAGAGCATTGATTTGTAATTTTATCAGCAGCATTCTTTCTCATAGTACAATCATTGATATCTTAGGTTAGATAAAAAATGGCTAGTAGAGAAATGGAGCAGCAATACAGAGACACTTTTAAATACTAGAAACTGGATACACTTGAAATCATTACAGACTAGGTTTTTTTTTTATTTTAAGATTTTATTTATTTTTTTTTAAGATTTATTTATACAAGCACTGGGTACAGTCAGAAGCGCAGGAGGGTGAGAGAATTCACCAGAGCCAGAGTGGGGAACAGAACAGGCAGACTGACGAAACACACTGCTGAGGGGAGCAGTGGACGCAGCAGGAGAGGTCTGCGCACCATGCGGGACCCTCCTCCGGTGGCCGGGGAGCAGCCAGGGATCGAACCGGTGCTGCAGAGGCCGCGGGCAGCCTTGCAGCCCAGCGCTCAACCACTGCACCACCAGAGGAGGCCCCAGATTAGGTTTTTTGCTCCAGTTTTATTACATTATCACCAAAGCAAGGTAACTTTTCTGATCTATAAAATGAGAGAGCAATATTTATTTAGAGCTATGATCTAAGGATGGAATTAGCCTTTCATCTCTTTCCCTATATCCAAATGGAACGCTCATGGGTGAGCATTGGAGAAACTTTCCGGCTTCCTGGCTTCAAATAATGATGATGGGGCTCTTAGTAATTTTTCACATGTCTACATATTTTATTTTATTTACACAAGGGATAGGACAACATTATAGATACTCTGAAAAACAGGAAAAACACCTCTGATTCATCCATAATCCATCATCTTAAAAGATTCCATGATACACTTTTGGTAGATTTTTTCTGCATATATGTATTGCATATTTTTGATTTTCCACTGCATTTAGTTTTTGTACATTGATTTTTTTAATATTTTAACTTATAACCATCATTTTCCATGATAGAATAGTATTACTTTTCTTACCAATATTTAACAGTTCTCTAGCATTTTGCATTTTTACCGGGTTTTCACTTCTATTAATATCACCACTTCACATCTGTGTGTATATGAATCATTCTATATTTAGCTTATCTCTCTAGCTTTGGTATCTAACATGTGGATTATTGTGCCTAAAAATCATTATTGTGTGTAAAAATAATGGTATCTTTTATTGTTGTTGTGACTTTACTAATCTCTTGGCACATTTATATTTCAATCGTTGCTTCTCTCTATCTGAGGTTGGCATTTTAACCCCATGTATCTGAAGCTTAGAGAGATGAAATGAAACTCAAAATAACTCAGGCTGACAGATGGATGAAACTTGAGAGAGACTCAAAGCAGAAACCCAGAAATGAGAAGCTAAAACCCTGTACAAACTGCAACCCAATGCAGAATGTGGATGTGGAGTTCTCAGCTTCGCTGCTCTGGAAAGGGAAAAGCGAGCCCTTGACTTCAGTGTCGTTCAGTTCTATATAGGGAACCTAATCGGCTCTATGTGCCTCCAGCAGCTAAAAAGTAATATCAAATCATTCACTTTGCCATTCATTCCTTTGAACTGAAAAAAGAGAAAAGGCAGTATAATGTTAAAACACACTTTAGGCAATTCGGTAGCTTAATGATTGGTTTAATGAATAATAATGTATTTCAAGCCAAAAGTTTTAAAGACTGCATCTCAGACTTAATTCATTGATATCCTTGACCATCAGAGACATTGTACAGATACTGTTCCCTCTATAAACTTCTATCAATAAACTGAACTAAATAATAACTACAGATTTCAACAATGGATTTCAAACAGCTTAAAAATTAAATTGCCATGATAAACATTAATAATATTCACTGATATGGCCTAATATTCAATGGTGTGGTATCTATCCTTAAATGGGGCCTTCATCTAATGACTATGGGTAGAGAAATCAAAATTCCAGGGGTGTATGATGGGTCATGAATAAAGGTATCCAGAATTTGTGCAATAGAAATGATTGTCTATACTCAGTTAACAAAGCAGAGCTGACTCTTGCCCCAAGAATCTGTTTGGCTCCTTTAATCTCTAACCAGTATTCTTTACATTAGCGATGAATCCAAAAATGTGATCTGAAACCAGACATATATCCTTTCCATTTTTTCTGACTTCTCAGAGGGATTTACCAGAAGCAGAATAAAATGCAATCCTATGAAAAGATTTTTAGAAACAACTGCAGTGAACTGAAAGAATGTGGGAGAGATGGGGGAAAAAATCATTCACCAGTAAAAGAAAGAATAGACTTTTAAAATCCTAGCAGGAAAATATCCTGCTGCTACCTAAGTGATGGATTTCTACGCTGTGTCCCACCGTGCAGTGGCTTCTCCTTTGTCTTTCTAGAACACGCATGCCTTGGTTACACAATTTTTTTCTTCAACAGATCTGATGCAATTCCATTGAAGTCTAGAGGAGACTAAGCTTTATACTAGCTTCTTACTCACCAGGCCTGTCCTTCAGTTTCCTTACTTCAGATTTTTATAAAATCGTAACTATAAACATGAAGGAACAAAGTTTAAAGAGAAGGAACCCATAAGGCTCATGAATATGTAAATTAAACTATATATCCTTTATCAAATACAAAAACTCTTTACTATTTAAAGTGGATACAGAGTAAATGTCCCTTTATAAAATAAACATGTTTTGCAAAAGAGCTTTTCCAATACCTTGAACCCGCAGCTATTTATAAAATAAACATGTTCTGCAAAAGGGCTTTTCCAATACCTTGAACTCACAGTTATCAGAATTGACAGAGCACTATGGGGCTGACATTCTCATTTCACATTTATCTTTGTAAATACAGACATGTAGCTGGTGGTGAAATCAGAGGTGACCACATAGGTTTAAATGGTTGGAGTGAATGAGTAGCAAGATCTGGAGGCTCCTCAAGGAAGGGTGGGGATCCAGTGAACGGTAGACCAAGTCTAAGAAAGAATATTACTGTGGGAAAAATAATGCAAGAGGGAAATTCTCTCCCAATCTTTATCCCATGACCTGGGTCATTTTTTTGCTTAAGCCTCTGCAAATCATTAGCAAAACATAAACTGTTCCCCCAAATTGATATGAGGTAACCAATTCCTTATCATTAAGAAAATTCTAATGTTGAAGCCTCCATGACTAAACTCACATAATAAATATTCAGGTATAAACCATGCTAAGAAACGCAAGATGCTTTATTACATTCAATACTGAGGTCCTCTGAGCCAATAATAGGAGATATAGAAATCTTATCCGTCACAGTTAATGTAGGTAAAATCCAAGGCTTAATGTCGGAAACCAGTTAAGGATGAAAGATAGAGCCCTTCTTTTTCTCTTTCTGTTAGGGGGAAAAGTATGTCCCAAAGCAAATTCCATATAGGCTTTGTGGACTCCACCCCCACCCCAGGTCAAAGCCAAAGACACTGGGAACTCCAAATCCCATCACCACCAAAGGGAAGGTGGCTGGGACCTGAGGGTGGGGTTAAGCAGCCAGGTGGATATAAAAGGCAGACACGTGGGCTTTGGGGATCCCCCATTTTGGCTCTCCGCCAGCTCGCAGCGTCCAGCCAGCTCTGAGAGTGACTTTGGGTTTCCAGGTCGTCGGGTCGGGTAGGACGCATTAAAGACTTTATTTCCCTATTTTCTCCCTGAGTTGTACATTTTCTTTATTTCTTTTTCTCTTGTAAATAAACCTTTTATTAACCCTTTTGTGTGTGTGTGTAGTAGAGTATTCATAAGTCCCTTTAAAGCGCGCGGGTGAGGACCCACAGCCAGGAACCCGTTTAATATCGGGGTTGCTCTATAACATTCCCTCAATCTGTTTATGGGAGAATCTTGACCACCTACAAATAATTGGGCTGGGTAAGGTGCACACAGCTAATGTTCCTTAAGCCCAAAGTCATCCTGAACAATCAGATTATCAGTGGTGGATGCCAATGATGTGTTATTACCCAGGCACATAACTTTGATTGTTCCTATCAAAGGTCTGCATAGAGGGGTGTTTGTAATATTATATGCATCCATTAATATTGCTATTACTTAAATTTTATTGAAATGGGGATGGGAGGCGGGGAAACATTTTATTTTATTGAGATACTCCATCCAGGGTCGACATGATTTTTTCCCAATTGTATCAATTTCTGTTTTTTCAATAACCAGATGCCTTACATCAAATCAGAAGAATGAGATATCGACGGGGAAATGCCTGTGGCCACTACAGGGAAGAGAAGAGAGAGGCAGAAGTAGGCAGGGAGTCTTCAGGTGACATTCAGGTACGTGCTTGTCGAAGGAGAGTAGATAGGAAAGAGGATTGGGTAAAAGGGTCAAGAACTGCAGTGCGTCTCCAGGAGGGCGTAGGCCAGGCCACTGCAGAAGCACAGGGCAGAGGCTGCTCCTTAGAAGAGCCCCACATCAGTAGGGACTCTAGTCTGACTTTGCTCCTTCATCTTGGGAGCAATCAGTAGCTCATGGCCTCAGTGTGCACTTTAGTAGGTCACAGAGATCTGGCCGCCAGTCACTCTTGGTCTTATGTACCTCGGCCACCATGCTCATTCCGTGACCTCTGGGCTGCAAGCTCATCCTCCTTCATTTCTTGCCAAATCTTGGTTAAGTTCAGAACTGAGACAGAAATTTATAGTAAACTTTTCCCTTCTGCACCATAAAAGACAGTGCTCACTAATCAGTGTAATCACTTCTGCTGACCTTGAGCATAGACATTTGATTCTTCATGAAGTCTTCCAAGAAGTCGTGGTGATAGAGTTGATGTCATTTTGTAGAGCTGCGTGTGGGGTCCTTGGGTTCCCTCTGGGAAAGGTGTCACCAGAGCTCCCGTTTCAGCAGCACACGGCGAGTTCCCCGGGCGTGTTTCTCCACGAGACCGAGATATTAGTTATATTTAAAGAGTAGGTTTATTAGGAAAAGGAAAAGGGACAGGTTTTGCCAAGAGAGGCCTGCATGGTTGCAGGCAGGCGACCTTGACAAGTCATGGGCAGGCAGGAAGCTGCTGCCCTGCAGAGGGAGAGAGTTGGTGAAAAGAGGCACCTGCCTAGTCACAGGTGGGCAATGGGAGAGCTACCCCGAGCCTGTGCGGAGACTGCACTGACACAGTCCTTTTCTCTTTGGGAGGGATCACTCCTCCATGGAGCAGCTGCTAGTCGCTGATGTTGGGTAACATTAGAATGGGACCAGAGATCCAGGGTGGGCCCAATCTCCATATCTTTACCCTCAGGCCTGCTCTACTCCCTAGAGCATTTGATCCTGGTTGGGTCTCCTGCCTTGTGATAAGGTTTTGGTGCCTAAGGGTCACGACCTCTACAGCTGGGTTAATGGTCATGTTATTCCCCTTGACCCCCACCTCCTTGTGTGAGTCAGGTTTTAGTGAGGTCTCCTATCCAGTTTTTCTATTCTTGTCCTCCATAATTGCTACATGGGAGATTAAACCTACGTGAGTATCCATAGACACTGCCATATGGATGTCTCTGTATGCATGCCTAAGTGTGTGCACACTATACATGTAAAGGTATGGGTCTTTCATCAATCATGCAAGTCAAATTTATGATCATTTCATATTTTCAGTAAACCCACATCCTTTTGGTAGACAAACGCTTCAACCTCTAAGCTCTTTTTTTTTATCTCATATACAATTGGCTTTGTGCTTTGAGGGAGACTCAGTTGCCACCCCAAGACTTGCTGACACCACACTTCCGGGCATAGCTCTGTGGGGTGTCCTTCCCAGCACAATTGAAACAAGTCAGAGTTGACTGCCTCAAGGTTTGTCTCCCTTTATAGCGTACTTGGCATAATCTTCACATTACGGATATTATTCTTTAATGCAAAAAGGGAATAATGCCGTGACAGTGGAGATCAAATTGGGTTTTACCATCCACTTCTAACATCTCTTTGAAATGTTTCATTTCCTCATATTCCCCCTGGTTGGGGAAAAAAAAAATCCCTGAAGCAGGAGCTCTCTAAAGAGTGATGCTTATGTATTAAATTCTAGCCACTGGGCAAATCTCCTGACCCAGAAAGATTTATTCTAAAACTTTCATAAATACTCCCATCCCTTTCATACACTTCTCTTTGCATTCTAATTACATTTTTGAGAAAGGTGAGAACAAATTTGATTGCCACAATTCTTAGGAGATGGAGCTGGTTTAACCTGAACTGAGCAAAGTCCCTTAGCCCTTCCAATGCCCTGCCGCCCCAGTCTTTATGAATATGTCAGGTAGAGTTTATTTGTCCTGATTGATTGGATGGTTGAAAGAAAACAAAGTTGAAAAGATTGAATTACTAACTTATGACTCAGTGTGGGCTTATTCTGAACCTAAAGATGGGGTATGGAGCAGATCAGGGATGTGAACTGCGCGCCAGCTTCCCCTGGGCTGTCCAGGAAGGGAATTTGGGTCCTGGTCACCACAACTAGAGACATTTAAAATTTTCATGTTGAATATGTGCGAATACATCTGAACTAACTAAAGCCTGACTGAGTGATTAGGTAGAAAAGAGGAAGCAGGAGGCACAGAAGAGTCTGCGTTGAAGCACATCTCCGTGATGTAAGGAAACTAGGAACAGCAGAGTCAATTCAGTGTTAGCTTTACTCATTGCATCCAAGCTTAACAGGTACATTTCCTCTCACAAACAAACTTGCTTCAGAGATGCCAATAGGTGTCAATAGGTTTCCTGTGTGGTGTGTCTGGAAAAGTCCAAGGGGAGATGAACAGGAGTCAGACTCCTCAGTCCCAGTATACTGCATCAGGCTCTGACATTCTAGAAAGAACAAATACTCCTTTCATATGTCCAACTTTGAATAAATACATGCATATTGGACATTTTGAAATTGTGGAAGAACTGTAGAAAAATGCTGTTTATGTTCTTATTGCTTGAGATGAAAGACAATGAAAGCAAGATCCCTTGAATATAAATAAGAACGCTATTGAAAACAGCAAGATTCAAGTCCCTACAAAGTACTTGAGAAGCTATCTCCAGATGCATGTTTTCATTTTTCCCCAAATTATCATCTGTTTTTTCCAAAGTCTATAAGGTAGGGATGGAGATTACCTGAACAATTTGCAGAAACTCATTCTCAAAGCCTTTCTCCCAACTTCCCAACTTCCTGTACTCCCCAGAGAGAAGTTGTCCTGTTGGAGAGGGCTTCTCAGAGAAGCTAATTGTGTTCCTTAGCATACAGTCTGGCCTGTCTCAAACCCTTCAGAACAATTAGCAAGTTGTCATCCATTTTCTTCCTCTGCTACACTAGCCCCCAGGGAAAAATAGAGAATAGTCACTGTGGTAATTGCCGGCTTCCTTCCCTTACCTCTTCCTGCTGGCTCCTAACCCAAGGCTCATACAAATATGGTATTTTAGGGTTTAGAGAAAAAGAACAAAATTTAGTCTCAAAGAGTCAAACTTATTTTCCGCTTCCCTGGTTTCCTCACTCTTGGTATTTCACACGGGAGCTGATTTCCATTTCATACCCCTGAGAAGGAGCATTATCATATTATCATGAAGAACTAAATTAGCCCCTATTATCCCTGAGCCATGAGTTTGAGGTCAGCCATTTGGAATTTATCCTTGCTGATCTGAGAGCTCTGGCTGCTGGGGAGCAGTGAAGCCAGGCAGTGAACCCCGAGTACCGAGTGTCCCGCCTGTGGCTAGAAAAAATGACGGTCGCTCAGGTCCTGATAAGGGGGATGGATGGCAATTTCATGCCAAATGACATTAGTGCTGTGATCTGAATCTTATTAATTATTATTTCTGAGCAAATGCACTTGAGAAAGGTCAGCACCCCTCCCTTTCCGGCTCTCCTGGCAGATGTAGCTCTGGCCTCAGAGGCCTGGAGAAGTGCTGTGGCCCCAGGCTCCAGCCCTCCCTGGGGAAACAGCTCAGCCTGGGTGCCAGAGGTCTCTGAAGGAGCCTGCTTCTCTCCTCCCTGCCCCCCTCACCCCAGCAAGACTCATTTTATCTGTCTAGGCTCTGCTGAAGCCAGTAAGTGAACACTATCTTCAGGTTAACTGTGCAGGAGGCTGACACAGTTTAGCCCCATGTGGGCTCTCCACCCCAGGGCACAAGAAGCCAAGAACCAAGACACCAGTTTTGGAGAAAAGTAGCTTACTGCAAGCCCATCTGGCAGGAGCCTGGAGATAAAGTGGAAGTTAGTCTCCCTAAGATTGGGGCTTTGAGGAGGTGTTTACAGAACAAATATGTAATAAGAACAAATATTAAAACATGCAAGTTGCTAGAGGCTGATTGGTTGTTTTCTGCAAAATCATGGTGTCACTCTAATTTGGAGTCAGGACTGCGCAAATGGAGTACACTGGCTTCTGGATGCTTCTGCCCTGAACTGTCATTCCAGTTCCATCTTCCTGGTTTTCTGTCACCCCCAAGAAGTCACCCCAAGGACAGCAACATTGCTCTGGGCCTGTGCCCTGAAACACAGCTGTCGATTTATGAAAAATCTTTTCTATCCTCATTTTAAATGGGGGGGGGGTACTTTTGTCCAGTTGCTGCGAACCCGCCCTGCTGTTCTTACAAGGTGAGCAGAAGAGTAAAAAGGTGATTCCCTGGGAGAAGGGGAGGTGTCAGGTTTCCTGTCCCACCCAAGGAAGGGTGGAGCTGAGCAGGGAGGAAGAGAAGCTGGGTAGGGACTGGAGCAGGAAGGAAGCAAGAAGGAAGCCTGGAGGAGGAGCAGGGAGCAGAGAGACATGTGGAGAAGCTGCATTTGGGCTCGGCCTTGGACTTGTACCAGGGACTTGGGGGACCTGGAAGGAGATACTTGAAGCAGATGTGGGTGAGAGACCCATGTGGGTGAGAGACCCAGTAGCAGACTTTCTCTTGATCTTGGGTTTTTCCCTTTACTTTCAGACGTGTCTGGTCCCTTCTGCCACTCTCCTATGGGGCAGAAGTTCCCTTGGACTCGTGGCAGGCTTTCAGGCCTCAGTGGCCCTGCTTTGGGCCAGCCCTGTGTGGCTGAGCATTCACCCATGAGGGGATGGGCAACTTTGGGTGTTTGATTTGGAAACTACATGCTTTCCTTTCTCTTCTCTCTGTTGCACACTCATTGTATTAAAGTTCCTTTTTATGAAAGGTCTAAGGCTCTGGAGTATGTTTTGTCTTGATGCAGTGGATGGCAGAAGCTATTTAGAGCAGGCAGGTGTGGGGGTACTGGGGTGCCTCCCACCCTGCCTGGTCACAGAAGCAGGAAAAGTCCATCATGACCTTTATGGTTCTGATGGGGGAGGGGGGGTTGTGGAAGGAAGATTAAGGGGCCCGGAGG